TTGAGACTGAATTTTGGATTCCCTTATTCTGGGGAGCTGTTTTTAGTTGTTTCTAGTTCAATAAAAAAGAAAGTGTAGCTCATTTCTGCATCTCTGGATACCTTGCCTGTAATTCATATCCTTACTTTAATGTTTCTAATAGATAGTATCTTTTAGTAATAATAACTGGATATTTGTAAGCACTGTCATTTTGGGTTCTACAAGTTTTCAAAATCTGTGTAGATACCACATTTAGGTATGTCAAATTAAAAGTATTATTAGTGAGCATTTTGTCAGTGTATGTAAGTACTAGTGAGACCATTCATATTTTTTTGTGGTTTGGATGCCTAGAAATAGAAGTGCTAGTGATCAAAATGAGCAACACAAAAGACACAAATGTACTTTGGAATTCAATGTGAATACTTTGGGAATAAGGTTTGGTTTGGCTTTACATAGGGCATCTCATAAAAATACTTTGACAATTGCATACATAAATCTGAAGCTGAAGAAGCTGTTAATCTTGCTGATATATACTTGCTGATTATCGGCATATAGGTGGTAAATTCTGAGAGGTATGAATAAGCAACATAATGGGATGAAGACCAATATCATTTAAACAGTTAGGGGAAGCAAAAGAGCCCAGATTGTCCATCTTTGGTATCATTCAATCAGACCTCCCTGATTCTGTACATGCTTATGTTATGTATGAATGTATTCTAGTAGTTCTAGCTCCAGTTCAGCTCCTTTTGCTTTCCAATAAGAAACATTTTGATGAATGAAAATAACATGGATAACTGTGTGTCAGCTATAATTTCTACAAAAAGTAGATCTTTTCCAAAAATTTATATCTTAATTATTAGTTATTGCACATTCTTTGCCAATTTTCCTTGTCTAGAAATGCATTAGGATAGTTCAGTTTAGGCACCATACCTATTTAATCTTTATATCCTAAATATTTTGTAGATTGCTCACACATCAGTTTTGTACACTTAATATGTGAAATTGAAATCCTTATTAATTAAAATTATGTTAGCATTTAATGTTTGTGATTTTATAAAATTGTTTAATTACCATGAATTGATCATTGCCAGACTTAAAAAGAAAAACATTATCACAAGTGTTTTTCCATCGTTTTGAGATATGACCTTGAAAAATATCTGTATCTAAATAAAATTTGGCTCCAAGATAATAACTACATTATTATTAAATAGCAAAAAACAATAGAATATACTTAAAGGAAAATATTAGTAGAAATAAAAGAACTTCAATCTGCATACAAAAGAGTAGAGATGTCATAATCATATTGGCAACCGCATTCATAAACACTTTATGGAGATATCACACCACGATCAAGTGAGTTCATCCCAGGTTTGCAATATTGGTTCAACATACACAAATCAATAAATGTTATTCACTACATAAAAAGAGTTAAAGATAGGAATCATATGATAATCTCAACAGATGCATAAAAGTCTTTGACAAGATGCAACACTCATTCATGTTTAAAAAAAACACTGGATAAATGAGAAATAGAAGGAACTTATCTTAACATTGCAAAGGTTGTATATGATAAGCCCAAGATCAACATTATACTAAATGAAGAAAAACTGAAAACATTTCCTCCAAAATCAGGAACAAGACAAGAATGTCCATTCTCACTACTTATATTAAATATAGTTCTTGAAATTCTACACAGAGCTATCAGATGAGAAAAGAAAATTAAAGAGTTACAAATAGAAAAGAAAGAAATCAAATTATCCTGTTTGATGATGAAATAATCCTATACCAGAAGCCTCAAACCCCACCAGAAGACTTCTAAAGCTCATAAACAAATTCAGTACAGTAGTAGAATACACAATCAACATACAAAAATCAATAGCTTTCCTATACTTCAATTATGGTTCTGCTGAAAGAGAAATCAGGAAAACTATTTCATTCATAATAACCTCAATAAAATAAAACATGGAATAAATCTAACCAAGGAAAACATGGAATAAATCTAACCAAGGAGATGAAAGAACTCTACAATAAAAACTGCAGAACACTGAAGAAAGAAATTGAAGAAGATCTTAAAAGATGGAAAGACCTCTCATGTTCTTAGATAAGCAGAATTAATATTACAACAATGACCATACTACCAAAAGCACTATACAATTTAATGCAATTCCCATCAAAATACCAATGATATTCTTCACAGAATTTTTTAAAAGGAGGGCTAAATTATATTTGGAATTATAAAAGACCCAGAAGAGCCTAAGCAATCCTGAGCAAGAAGAGCAATGTTGGAGGCATCATGGTACCTGATCTCTAATTATACCACAAAACTATAGTAAGAAAAACAGCATGTTATTGGCACAAAAATAGATGTGAAGACTAATAAAATAAAATAAAAGATACAGAGAAATCTATACAAATATAGTCATCTGATCTTTGACAAAGCTACTAAAAGCATGAGTTAGAAAAAAAAAAAAAAAAACCCTTTAAAAAACAATGGTGCTGGGAAAATCGGGTACCCATAGGAAGAGGAACTGGATCCCTGCGTTTCACCTTGCACAAATGTCAATTCAAAATAGACCAAAGACCTAGGAATCAGACCAGAAGCATTACAACTGGTAGGGGAAAAAAGCATAGGGTCAATATTCCATCATATTTGCACAAGCACTGATTTCCTTAACAAGAAAATCACTTAACAAGTGCAAGAAATAAAATCAAGAATACATAGAACAGCATCAAGTGAAAAAGTTTTTTCACAGCCAAGGAAACAATTGCTATCATGAAGAGAAAGCCTACAAAATGGTAGAAATCTACAACGATGATACAATATAAAGCTAAACTGACGGCACACATGGAACTAGATAGCCCGAGACACTTTACTTTTAAATTTTCATCCTTTTTTTCTACATCACACGTGTCTTACTCGTGCCTATTAATTTTAAAATTAATTTCACAACATTTTTCTTTCTACTAAGAAGGAAAAAATATCACACTTCCAACTCTGGAAATTGGGTCAGGTTGAACTGAACTGTCTTACATTTAGGAATGGGAATGACAGAGAGAGGCCTGTTGAGAAGCAAAGATTACATACAGCTGTGATGTTTCAATTACTGATCGCCAAAAACTGTTTCTGTGAATGCAGATACACTGGAATATGAAGGCTACACTCAAGCAGTTTAGATTTTTATTTGGTAAATAATTATTTTATAGGCAATTGCTGAAAACTAATATTTGATTCATATCATAATCTAGTATTTGAGGACAGCCCATGAACAACTCTGCAAGCACTATAATATTGTTAATCGGTACGAGGCAAAAAAAAAAAAAAAAAGTCCAGTCAAGTCTATTCCAATTTTGTTTGCATTATTAAAAAAAGCAAGCATACAGAACCTCTATTGAATGTTTTTGTATTTATCTGACATTGGGCTTGTCTCTGAAAAATGATGAATATAATGTAGGAAATTCATAGCAATGTATCACTACAGATGAAATATCACCAGAAGAAACTTGAAGTAACAAGTTAAATGCAAAATAATTTCGTCCTCTTCTTCTCCTGATTTTTGTTTATTTGTTATTTATATTATATTTTCACAATCTTCAGAGAGTGTTCTCCATGGAAAATATGATAATTCATATTTGTATTCTTAATAACTGAACAAAAGAATTTCTTATCCCATTTGCAATATTCCAATTATTTTCCAATTATTTATGGTTAAATTCAGGAATTAACCACATAATAATATAAAAAATAAAAAATTTAGACTAATAATGAAAAACAACATTAAATACTATGAATAAGAAACAGAATGAAATTGATAAACATTGTTTCAGATTATTACATAACCATCAATTAAATTAAAACTATAGAAACGGATATTAGACCTAAGGTCAGAAGATTTTGTGTCTGTAGTTCTGTATAATTTTAGGCATATTAGTTTATCTTTCTAAATTCAATTTCTTCAGTCAGAAAAAGTTATATCCTTTATCTCACAAGACCATAGTAATCAAATAAAACAAGAAATCTGACAACTTTTCACACATTTTAATAAAGAGCAGTGGATATATACTACAAAGCAATATATTTTTAAAAAAATGTTGATAGTAATGACATAGTTTACATTGAATAAGTATCAATTTAAATGCAAAAGTTGGCATCCTGTCTCTAAATAAACAATGTTCCAGTGAAATGATAGTCCCAGTTCTGCTAATTGATTTCTTTGCAGAACTTATGCTACATTGCAGTATATTTAGAGAAAGGTTCAATAAATTAAATATTTTATTAGTAAAATTCTTACGTAGTCATAGTGGTAATTTTGATGGTAGTGATGGTTATAATTATGAGGCTTGGGAGGAGGAGAAGGGAAAAATAGATTTCTAGTGCAGAGTATAGAAAACTGCATCATAGAAATTTGCTTTGTAACAGTTACTAATCTTGATATAAAGAGAACAAAAATAATTCAAGCATTTAAAAAACTAATTGAAATCTGCTGGTTGTAGTGGCACACCCCAGTAATCTCAGTGCTCAGGAGGCTGAGACAGGCGGATTGAGAGTTCAAGCTAGCCTCAGCAATGGCAAGGCACTAAGCAACTCAGTGAGATCCTGTCTCTAAATAAAAAAAAAATACAAAATAAGACTGGGGATGTGGCTCTGTGGTTGAGTGTCCAGAGTTCAAACCCTGGTACAAAAAACAAACAAACAAAAAACTCCACTAACCAAAATCTATTTAATATTCATAGAATGTGAATTGATCATAATGGATTTTGTCAAGAATAAATAAGTTTTTATAATTTCAGTTTAACTTCTAGTAGCTCCGATTAATTCTTTGGAATATGGCAGAATAGAAGTTCCCCTGCTTATATCCCCTCATAGCAAAAATAACTTCACTGTCATTTTGGACAAATGTGCCTTTTCTGGAGCCTTAGCATTCAGATAGAAGTTTATAAAACATTGGTAGAGTCCAAGGCCTAGAACTAAAAGGTCACTGTGAGAAGTTAGACCCCATACTTAGGTGGCAGATTTTCTGACCATGGTCACACCTCCAGGTCCCAAAACGGCCCCACCTCCTCGTGGACTGTGTTACGACTCCGTTTACCCTTATTTCTGCTACTAAAACCATCATCCAAGGCCCCCAATAGGAGTCTTGCCTGAGTCCACTGGACAATATGCTTGCAGACTTTACTCTTAGCTGTGGACCCTGAAATGACTCTCTAATGCAGATCCAACCCCTCTTAACTGTGGACTAAAGACAAATTCTGTTTATAAGGACCTAGAATTAGATCTGAGTCCCTGAGACTTACAGAAATGTTTTTATATTTTATCCCAGGTTTTTCATCTGATGATCAAGAGCCACTCTGACCACCCAGAGACTCACTAAAAGATATTCTTATCTGCATCTCTGCAGGAAGACCAGCCAACCTACATACCAAACCTGATTCTATCTGCCCTGAAAAGTGACTCTAGGCCTTTTCAGCAATGGCTTGAGGGCAGTTCAGTTTACACAGGATCCAGATGGAGATATAACTGCCTACTGCAGTTATACTACAGATCTTAAAATAACTCTTATTTCAGCACCAGCCCTTGTTGGCTGGAGTCTCAGAGCAGACCTGCCCACCTAGGGAACTCCTGGGAGATATGCCCAGAAAAAGGCCTAAAGATCTTTGTCTTGGGTATAGACACTAAAACACTATTAAGACTCAGTTCTTCATGAGGTAGTCTGTCAGGTCCCGGCCAGCCAGGTCCAGACGCAGGATGGCGTGGGGAAGGGGGTAGCCCTCGTAGATGGGCACTGTGTGGGTGACCCCGTCACCAGAGTCCATGACAATGCCAGTGGTGCGCCCAGAGGTGTACAGGGACAGCACAGCCTGGATGGCCACATACATGGCCGGTGTGTTGAAGGTCTCGAACATGATCTGAGTCATCTTTTCTCTGTTGGCCTTGGGGTTCAGGGGGGCCTCTGTCAGCAGCACCGGGTGCTCCTCGCGGGCCACGTGCAGCTCATTGTAGAGCGCGGCTACAGCTTCACCACCACCGCCGAGGGGGAGATCGTGCGCAACATCAAGGAGAAGCTGTGCTACGTTGCCCTGGACTTCGAGCAGGAGATGGCCACTGCTGCATCCTCCTCCTCCCTGGAGAAGAGCTACGAGCTGCCCGATGGGCAGGTGATCACCATCGGCAATGAGCGGTTCCGGTGTCCAGAGGCACTCTTCCAGCCCTCTTTCCTGGGTATGGAATCTTCCGGCATCCACGAGACCACCTTCAACTCTATCATGAAGTGTGACGTGGACATCCGCAAAGACCTCTATGCCAACACCGTGCTGTCGGGCGGCACCACCATGTACCCTGGCATCGCTGACAGGATGCAGAAGGAGATCACAGCCCTGGCCCCCAGCACCATGAAGATCAAGATCATCGCGCCCCCTGAGCGCAAGTACTCTGTGTGGATCGGCGGCTCCATCCTGGCCTCGCTGTCCACCTTCCAGCAGATGTGGATCAGCAAGCAGGAGTACGACGAGTCGGGCCCCTCCATTGTCCACCGCAAATGCTTCTAGATGGACTGAGCAGGTGCCAGGCACCTGCTGCCTGAGCCGAATCTGAAGTATAAATTTGCTCTGGCAAATGTATACACCTCATGCTAGCCTCATGAAACTGGAATAAGCCTTTGAAAAGAAATTGTCCTTGAAGCTTGTATCTGATGTCAGCACTGTAACGTAGAACTCGTGGCTGACTTTGACCTTGTATTCAAGTTAACTGTTCCCTTGGTGTATGTTTAACGCCCTGTGCATATCTTTGATTTAAGCCTTTAGTCCATGTGGCTCGGTCACCTGGTACCTGAGGTGAGAGCGTGCATAAAGGAGAAGTCCACAGCAGTGATCTGCAGGGTATTCATGTGTCTGTGGCTGACAGACTTCCAGGATTGGTCGGGCTGGCAAGAGTTCCTGGGCCAGCTGTCACTTCTTGCGGGTCTAACAGGGTGGGAAAGGCCGAGCCTTAGGACCCAGTTTCCGTTCTTACCGATGTTCTCCCGCCTGACCACCATTGGTTATTACTTGCCTTGAGTTGGAAACGGTTTGCATTTACATCTGTAAATTTATTCATTTTAATTTATGTAAGGTTTTTTGTACTCAATTCTTTACCAGATGACAAAATTTTTGGTTTTCTACTGTTATGTGAGAACATTAGGCCCCAGCAACACTTAATTGAGTAAGGAAAAATAAAGTGCTACAGTACACTGAGAAAAAAAAAAAAAAAAAGACTCAGTTCTAATCCCTCCCAGCTATGGATGGAGGCAGTACTATCTAGCCAGAAACCTAGTGACCCACTTGGAAACTTCCAAGATTCTCGGAGGAAAACACTCTCCTATGTACACTAATGGGCCTGCCATTTTCAGACCCTGAAGCAGACTCTGTAGGACCAGCTCTAACTAACAAGGTTCTGGAGACAGTTTGGTTCACCCAGGGAATAGACAGTATCCCTGCTTTCTAGAATCCCCAGTCATAAGCCTATCAACTATGAAACACACAACAGACCCAGCAAACATCCACGTGATGCTGCTCCAGTCCCATTTGACTGCAGCCCCATAAGTTCATGAACCTAATAGAAGGCTTTAACCTGCTAAAATCAGTCTATAAAGATTCTAAGAAGATTTTGTTTCTTTAAATGTACAGATACCCAAGCAAGGCTACACAAATAACAGAGAAACAGGCACACATGATGTTGTCAAATGAAACTATTAAAGTTCTAGCAACTGGCCCATGGAAATAGAAAACTATTTGCCTGAAAGATAATTTCAAATAATCACTTTAAGGAAGCTTAAAGAGATATAAGAAAATACAAACAGAAAACTAAGAGAATTAGGATAAAAAGAATAAGCACAATGAGAAGTTTAATAAAGAAATTGAAATAAAAGAGAATGAAACATAAATTCTGGAACTGATGAATAAAATGATGATACAGAAAAATTCAATACAGAGTTTCAACAGCAAACTCAATAATGCAGAGAAAAGAATAACTAAAGAACACAGGTTATTTGAGAGGTTGGGCAACTAGAGGAACAAAAAAGAAAAAAATTAATTGCAAAGAGTAAGAAAGCATAAGGGATCTATTGGACACCAGGGACAGTACCAATACATGAATTATTAAGTCTCAGAAGTAAAAGACAAAGAGGAAGGAAGAAAGTTTACTTAGAAAAACAATGACTGAAAATCTTCATTTCACAGACCTTGGAAAAATAAGGACATCTAGAATACTCAAAGGACCCAAGCAAGACAAACACAAATATGATTATCCCAAAGCACGTGGTAAAATTGTCAAAAGTAAAAGACAAAGAGAATTTTGAAAGCAATAAGACAAGACACTTTTCACAATGGAAGTTTTATAGGGCCATAACCAAACCCTTACATGTGAGAAGGGAATAGGATGATTTAAGCACTAAAAGGAAAAACTACTAACCAAGAAGCCTATACCTCAGAAAACTGCAGCTCGGGAATAAAGGAGAGGTAAATACCTTCCCAGATGAACAAAAGCTAAGAGAATTCACCACCACAAAGTTTGCTTTACAAGAAAGGCAAAAGGGAATTCCTCAATTTGAGAAATGATCATACTAATTAACAACATATAAACACATAAAAGTTTTAAAAAAACAGTGGTTATGATAAATATATAATCAAATTCAGGATACTTGAGTACTATAAAATACTTGCATCTCTAATATAAAAAGACAACAATATTTAAAGTGATTAAAGCTAAAATAATTTAAGAGATGTACATAATTTGAAATAATTTAAATTGTGGTTTACAAATATAAAATATGGGGAAGGGTAATAAAGAACAGGTTTTTTATGCAATTGAAGTTAGGCCATTATCAGATTAAAGTAACTTTTATAACATGAGATGCCTTGTGAATTCTCATAACCACAAAATAAAAAATCTAGAGGAGATACATGAAGCATAAAGAGAAAGAAATCAAGACCTACCACTATACAAAATCATCAAATCACAAAGGAAGATAGCAAGAGAAGACAAGAACAATAAAACAGAATTATAAATAAGACAGGAACTATAAAACGGAAATAATTAATAAGATGGCAATAGTAAACCCTTTTCAATGATTTACTTTAAATGTAATCATATTAAATTTTCCAATGAAAATACTTAGCGTAGCTGAATGGATATCAAAACATTTTTAAAAAACAGGATCCAAATATTTATTGCCTATAAGAACTCACTTCACCCTTATTGACATATATAATCTGGAAGTAAAGGAATGAAAATGATACTTCATCTATAGGAAACCAAGAGAAAGGGCTGTTATAAATTATATCAGACAAAGAAGATTTTCCATCAAAATTTATCAAAAAAAAGTCATTATATATGATAGAGATCAATCCATCCATCCAGAGCATATAGCATATATGTATACATATATATATACATACACACATATATGTATGTATTTAATATTTCAGCATCCAACTATATGAAGCAAATATTAATAAATTTAAGGAGAGAAATATATACAATAACACAATTCCCCATTTGCAACAATAGATAGATCATCCAGTCAGAAAATCAATAAGGAAACATTGGACATGAACTACACTTTTGGATCAATGGACCTAACATATATTATATACAGTATATAGAGAAGTATATACATTTTCTCAAGTGTATGTGGAATATTTCTCAGGATAGAACATATGATAAACCATAGAATGAGTCTTAATGAATTTAGGAAGAGTTAAATTATATCATGTATCTCTTCGAACCACAATAGTGTGAAACTAAACATTGGTAACATGAAAAAATGCAGAAAATTTATGAATGAGGAAATTAAACAACATGCTACCAAATAACCAAATAAAAAGAGAAATCAAAATATCTTGAGACAAATAAAAATGAAACACAACCTTCCAATACTCAAGGGATTCAGAAAAGAAGATTTAAAATGAAGTTTATACCGAAAAGCCTAAATTTAAAAAGAGGGGAAAAAAAATCTCAAATAAAAATACCAACATTATACCATAAATAACTAGAAAAAAAAGAACAAATTAATTATAAAATTAGTGAAGAAAGGAAAAAATAGATTGGAGATTAAATATAATAAAACAAGACTAGGAAAATAGTAGAAAAAAATTCAACAAAACTAAGGTTAGTTTTTTGACAAGAAACAAGATCAGCATTATTCGCAATAGCTAAGGCACAGAATCAAACCATGTACCCATCAGTGCATAAATGGATTAAAAAAAAGTTGTTTTTATAGTAACCAGATACTACATAGACTTAAAGAAGGAATCCTGTCACTAGTGGGAACATGGATGAACCTGAGGATCAAATGCTAAGTTAAATAAGCCAGACACAAAAGACAAATAATTCATGATCTTACTTATACATGGAAACTTAAAAAGCTGCCTCATCGAATCAGGGAGTAGACTGGTTATAAGCAGAAGCTGAGTGAGGAGGCAGGCAGGGATTGGAGAAATGTAGCTCAAAAGATACACAATTTACATTAGAGGAATCAACTCAGAAGATCTATTGTATACCACCATGATCATAGTTACTAACAATATGCTGTGTACTTGGAAATTGTCAAGAAAGTAGATTTAATGTTTGATCACACACACACACACACACACACACACTCACAAAAATAAATAATAATAATAATAATACAAGGGCTGGAATTGTGGCCAGTGGAGGGAGTGCATGCCTAGTATATGTGAGGCACTGGGTTTGATTCTCAGCACCACATATAAATAAATAAAGGTCCTCAACAATTAATAAAATATTTAAATAAAAGAAAAAAATTCTTTAAAAAAATTATACTGATGCAAGGAAATAGATATGCTGATGTTTTAGTCAGCTTTTTTCACTACTGTGACTAAAAGACCCAACCAGAACAATGGTAGACAAGGAAAAGTTTATTTGGGGGCTCACGATTTCAGAGGTCTCAGTCCCTAGATACAGCTGGTTCCATTCCTTGGGGCTTAAGTGAGGCTGAACATCATGGTGGAAGAGTGTGGTGGAGGGAAGCGGCTCACATGATGATCAGAGGCAGAGAGAGAGAGAGAGAGAACTACTTGCCAGATATAAGTATATACCCCAAAGCCACACCTCAATGCCCCACCTCCTCCAGCCATACCCCACCTGCCTTCAGTTACCAGCCAATTAATTCATAGGGTGATCAATTCACTGATTGAGGTGATTAATTCACAGATTGAGTTAAGGCTCTCATAATCCAATCATCCTTTCTCTGAACCTATTATATTGTCTTACATGCTAGCTTTAGGGGATGTTTAATAGCTTTTTCAATACTGTGATCAAAAGACCTGACCAGAACAATTGTAGAGGAGGAAAAGTTTATTTGAGGGCACATAGTTTCAGAGGTCTTAGTCCATACAAGACAGGCTGCATTCCTCAGAGCTCCAGGTGAGGCAGAACATTATAACAGAATAGTGTGACAGAGGGAAACAGCTCACATGGGGGTCAGAGAGCAGAGAGAGAGATTCCACTCTCCAGATACAAAATACATACCCCATAGCCATGGTCCCAATGAACCACTTCCTCCAGCCACACCCCACCTGCCTCCAGTTAATCCCACGAGGGATCAATTCACTGAGTTAAGGCTATAATCCAATCATTTCTCCTCCAGACCTTCTTGTCTCACTCATGAGCTTTTGGGGGATACTTCATATCAAAACCACAACAGATAATTAGGTTGATTTAGTCACTTCACAATATCTACATAAATCAAAACATTGCTATGCACTAGAAATATATAGTACTTTTGTTAATAAAAAATAAGTTAATGAATTAAATTTTGTTAAGCCATGGTCTATTACATAGCTATTACATTATTGATAGCGATTGAAATATTGCCCCTTCCACTAATAGTTCAAAATATTAGATTTGCACATTAGAATCTTTTCAATTTAACCTAGACTGAAAGGCAAAATTAATATTTTGTTTTGGCTTTAATTTATATTATTTGATTTTGGCTAAGAATACTTTTATACACTATAATTTGCACGACTTCTTTAGTGTTCCTTTGGTAATTTGTTCTTATTCTTAATATCTCAATTGTATCTCATTTTCTGAATTGTAATATTTTAAAATGTACTAAGTGTTCTTTCTTTTTTTCATTATGAGTTAAAAATGTAATTATTTTTTATAATAATTATACATTCTACACACAAATTTCTAATTTTTTATATTTTTATTTAAATTTTATAT